TATATACACAGGTGAAACTATCCCCCGCCGGACACCATCCCGGTATTTCCGAGTCAAGGTTTCGGGGCCTGAATTTTTTTTTATGTTACTAGCTGGTAGGCCTAACAATCGGGTATTAAAGTAGGACCTTTAATGATGATAGACTCTAGGCTAGGCCTATAGTGTAGGCTAGCTAGCCTTGTTGAAAGGGCACTTCATGAAAAGGAGGGGTTCGTTCGAACCCAACGAACCCCCCTGGGGGTGTACATACGCACATACAGTACATATACCTCCTTTACTTTATAATAATAAAAATAAAAAGGCAAATTAACAGCAAGAAATACTTAATTAAATGAAATGAACTGCACCAGATAGATCAACAATGATACACCACATATCATTGACGGTTATTTCTCATGAGAAAAAATATATGCTTGTAATAAATTGTCCGCATAAACAGAGAAATACCAAATAAATTCCATCAGGGAATAGTGAAATTTCATGGAATGATCTCGAACTACTAAGGCGTGCTCATCATATTAGGTACCTATTGTTCGCTGTTGTTCTTTTCTAATAGCCCCTGCTGTGTCCTTTGATCATAAACGTGCGGTACTGACAGTCAAGCTAAAAGGGTGAAAATAATCACCACCAACGTCAGAAAATTTCTCTTAAGCCTGGTTCACGTCAACATTTTATCTAGTTATAGATCCACTTAACTAGATAAAAGTTCGACGTGAACCACTCAATTATAGCTAGATAAAGGCTTAAGTCACTTATCGCCATCGAGCTAATCTGAAACCATCGCGAAAGGAGTAAAGTTACAAAAAAACTTTTAGTTAACTTCCTATCAACACGGTTAATGATAAGGCAATTTGTTTCGCTTATAATTTCATGTCGTAATATGGCACCATTCAGAGAGAAGATCGCTTCATGCGAACGTGATGCTAAGTGGTTTTAGAAATCATCATTAATTTCAAAAGTAATCCTTTTTTAATTTTTGCAAATTATATGAATTTGTTGATTTACATATTGTATTACATTTTCCAATGTTGTGTAACAAAAACTTATAGCGAGTGAAATATTGTGTAGCTGATAGATTATGAATGCAATCTTGTTTGTCTTGAAAGCAGCATCGATTTTCCAACGCTCGCAGAAAATAATAAAACTAATTTGCATAATTGATGAGTATTGGTTATTTGAGCATTAACTCCCAATTATCGATGATCAATTCATTAGTGACGTCACTGGCAATAAGCCCTTAGCTAAAATAAGCATAAAAATAGCAATCCAGGGCATTGTGCCTGACAGCCTAGCCTGCCCTGCCAGTCTTTATCAGGCAAAGTGTTGTCAAACTTCTTCCTTGACATAATTTTAATCAGAACATCGCGAATCAATTTAAGTGTGGAAGATAGCTAAGCTCCATAACAGAATATTGACATAAGGAACTCAATTCATCAATTTTACAAGGCTCAATAATTAATTTTCGTCTCAGTTTCCGAAAATTGCTTTAGTTAAATCGTGGATATAGTTTGTTTGTTGGTTTGGTAATTGACCAAAGCTATTATATTTGAGGTGGATGACAGTTGTCGCAAGAGTAACGTAGTAATTACAAAAAAAGGAAGAAGTATTTTATTGTGTAAAACCCACAAAAGTCGATCATTACCGTATAGGCCTAATTTAATACAGAAAAAGCTGTCACTGACCGGCACCGGTATTTGATATAATAGCGACGGTTACTTGATTTTGTCATATATTGTTTTAAACACACTTTCCATATTCATTCTCTATAGGATCATTGCTAATCCTGTCTGAGTGAGATAAGTCATTGGAGTTCACAAAAATTAACAAATTACTAAAATCATAATATAAATCATAGAGTACAGTATTGGATAATCCTGATTTTCAAAGTATGTACCGTACGTGATATTTTATAAAATAGAGCACGACTGTGTTAGGCTTCATTCCCCTCCCGTTATAATCAAACATGGTACATTAGTTTTATTTATTTTTTTTAAATTTCCATATTTGTATCTTTTTTTGTTCAATGGA